AATATAAAAATTTTATATTACAAAAAGTGTAATATAGCTCTGGCGCCATCTATTAATTAGGCAATTATGATATTGTAATTAACGCGATTATTTCTAAAATTAATTGAAACACAATTAAAATAGCCATATAAAAGCGTGTTTTGATAATCTATTGACAATATAAGTCGTAAATGTATTGTAAATTTAGCCATGATTGCTAAATTAGCATTATTCAAACAAAATGTGTATTTTCTATATTACACCATGTGACGTTATATGACGTCATATGACTGTAACATGTAATATAAAATTCTATATTACATGTAATTTACATTACTACGTACATCATTGCATATCAATAGTATTGCATAACATAATAACTAAACTAACATTTACTAATCATTTATAATAAAAAACTATTATTTTATGTTACATATAATGTAAATTAGTATTGAAATACTAAAGCCGGAGCCGTGTCGGAAGCGGGACCGATTCAGAGCAGCGGCTCCAAAATTTCAATAACTATTTGCCGTTATGTTTGTATCAAAAACACTAAATTTGTGACATTTATTTCAACTATAAAACTACATTAAATTACATCTTTATTGTTTAAATTGTTTCATAACATTAAATTATGGTAATATTTCAATATTCAGTGATATTCTTGCCGGTAATCACTGTTTGAATCGCTTAATGAGAGAAAATGCTTTTGTAAATCAAATTATTAGAAAAAAAATTACATACAAAACATATTTATCAATTTTAAATAAGCCAATAATTTGGAGGAAATAGTTAACTATAAAGGGTGTGTATTGAGTAAATTAGTGGCACTTCTGAGCGCAATAGCGATGTCGGAGATGTGCCGACGCAATGATTGTCTCAATTGCGGCACTTTTGATACGTCACCTCTTTGTGTGATCGAGATTTGCCTCATGAGGTCCAGCATTCCGGGGAAGACAACTGTCGAGTATTTATTATATTTAAACGGCGCGTACAATAGATTCTTGATTTCTGGCCTCTCGTGCAGACCCTCGGGCCTAATGAAGGCGCGCTCGACTCCCATCATCGCGTCGTTCGCCCGGCGCACTAGTAATGGATTATTTATATCCAAATGCCTTATCATTTCTGTCCAATCGTTGGCCGCCGACACGAACGCAGCCAACGATTTCTCCAACATATCTATTAATGGCTTATTGTCGCCGTAAATGTCATATTTGGCGCCGAACTTCTCGTGATTTGCATTCATTTTATATATGTATTTATAGTCTATTAGCACTCTGTTCGCCAATTCGTCGATTCTATACGGTAATAGTATAGAGCCAGAGATGGCGTGCAGTAATACTCCCAACAATTGGGTACACGTCTTATGTAATGAAAAGTCGGGATCAATGAATTTGTTGACCAAATATAATGTTTCGTATCCCGTATGATAAGCCGGATAACCACTTATTGGGTATTTTTTCTAAAACATAACATTCAAATAGCTAATCTTTATTTTATAAATACATTGAACAAAATCCAAATTATATGATATTTTGTTAGTAATTTAATTGTTACAATTATAAGAAAGTTTTTCTAGTAATCATTCAATTTAACTAAAACTCGGTTTCTGGTGCCAAAAATAGTTGGCTACAATAAATTTAATTATAAACTAAGGTTTACACAGCGATGCTACGGCTTAACCACAATTGGGGTAGTGCTTAAAGAATAGATTGTGTTTAAAAATTGTATTTTTTAAAATTTAATTTATAAATTATTGTTAAATCAATACCATTATTTAAAATTCAAAATACCATTATTATTGTTTGTATTTTAAAAATTTTCTAAAGTTATTGTTGATAATTATTCTGTTTTAATAATAATTTTTTTGTTATTAATCCTATTTTGTTTGTATGTTAATCCTAGACATTTAACATAGACATAGCATTGTCCATTGGATAAGCATTAGTCCAATAGACTTAACATTACTTATACGATTACCATTGCCCATGATGAGCCTATGTCATAGAATTAAGCTGTAATTGCATAGAAACTCATGTTAAAGCATTTTTCCATAGACTTAACATTAGTTCCATAGGATTAACATTGAGAAAAACTATCTTTTTCCTTCATATTTTGCTTTCCCATAGGAAACAATCTCTCTAAGGATTAACATTACAAATAGGATAACATGGACTTATGTTAAGTCTATGGAAAAAGCTCCATAGGATTAGCATTACCCATGTTAAAGTATAGCCATTGGCTTAAGCTGTAATCCCATGTTAAATTCTATAGAACGGGGGGGGGGCGGATCGGAGGAGGGGGGCCGAACGATCCTATAAACCACATTCTTCATATATGAATTGTGGTTAAAAATCACAGCTGAACCTACACAAAAAAATAAGACTTATCGATTATTCCAATATAATACCTTATCAAATTTGAACATAATATTAATAGCGGGTATGCCAGCGAAGAATGCAAAGGCGGCCTGATCTGAGCCCGAACCCAAGATTTTCACTCTGTGCATAATAATTGAATTTATTAAGAATAAAACAAAAAAGTTTAATAAGTACTTTGGATTATCCAACACTCCACTAATTTGGTCCTGATGTTTAATCCATTCGTTCAAAAGAGTAGTATTTCTGAACGAAATATATTGTGTAACTTCGCGTAGAATTGCCATTAGAGTGGGCGAAGCGTCAGGACTGAGAAACGGACCCTTTATGCAAGTGTCGACATTGATATACGCGACCGCTTTTTGTGACAATAAATGAATGTGCTCTTCGACCCATTCGGTAGACCCAATGAGACCCATCTCCTCTCCCGTCCAACTCGCGAACACTACTGTCCTTCTGGGCCTCCAATCGGTGTCGCTGTGAATGCGGCCAAAAAGTCGGGCCACTTCCAGGAGAGCGGTGGTACCGCTGGCGGCGTCCATAGCGCCCAAACCCCAGGCATCCCTATGATTACCTAATATAACATATCGATCCTCCTCTACAGATCCGTCCAGAATTCCAATTACATTGTAAATAATTTTTGTTTTCATCACATTATTAACGACGAGCCGTAATTTTCTGTCAAAAAATCAAATAACAATTAGACAAAGAACCAAGTTCAATTTCAATACACAAATGGCCAAAAATTGTAAATTAAAAATGAAATTATTTATTTAATTTACAATAATAATTATCATTATAATTATAATTAATATTCATATAAATGATTTAAAATTAAAACTCCCTAAGCCATAAATAACGTACAAAATTAATAGTGAATTTCTTAATTCTAGTATAACTTTTGTCTATTAAGTCGAATTTTGGAAATTCCTTCAGAATATTATTCCACTCATCCATACCTATCCAATGATATATAATATGATATACTTATTAATGAAATAAAAGATTTGATAGTCAAATTTTTCCCGATAAGAATGGTCACTGCGGCCAAACCCGAAGTCGTCTGGCCAAATAAAATATACCACCGTACTTCTTTCAAAGTGCACTTTCAATTTATAACAATAATTCCCGAGTGCACTATTGGCCTAATTTGAACATTATCTTTTGCCAAACAATATGTCATAGCATTATTAATGTTAAAATGCATACTTGTGCACATTAGCGCTGTTGAATCCTGGCCCAAATCTGTATGTTATGTTAAGCCCACCCTTCCAGTCGCCGATGTGAAGAGCGTTAGGCACAGGTTTACCACCCATTATTCTGTTGATACAAATATAACAAACCAAATAATCAGTGACATTGCAAAATCATATAAAGTATAGTATAGTATAATCAATCAATTGATACACATTTTACCGTAAAACATACTTCAGTATCTGTAGCGCGTCGTCGTATCCGATTGGTTGGGTCGGGATTTTGGGCAGATTTATATCGCTAAGCCCGTATTGGAATGCACCATCTGATCACATAATATTATTATATCATAAGTTATTGATTGATGTATTGTATAAATTATAATATACTGTATTAGGTTTTAAAAATAAAAACGCAAACTATTGCTAACCGACTAATGCCGGTAATCCCTGTGTCAAAGGGGGAAGCACTTTTTTACCCGTCGGTCCGTTGGTCCGTCGATCCGTTGGTCCGTTGGTCCGTCGGTCCGTCGATAAAATTAACATGTATGTTTTATATATGTACTCAATGTAGAATTCATCGCTGAGTTCGAATCTGGAATTCAAAATATTTTATTGCGACTATTTTTCGAGTTAT